ATCATATATATGTTGTTATTGTTGATGTGTACCGTCAAGTCAATTCTGACTCATAGTGACCCTATAGGACAGAGTAAAACTGCCCCATAGGATTTCCTAGGCTGTAATCTTTATGGGAGCAGATTGCCAGGTCTTTTCTCCCTCAGAGCTGCTGGTGGGTTCAAACCACCGACCTTTTGGTTAGCAGTCGAGCACTTAAGCACTGTGCCACCAAGACTCCTTATCATATTTATACATATATATCTAATCTTATTGGTTCTATTTCTCTGAAGAACTCTGACTAATATACTCCCCAAAGCCTAGCCCACTTTCCAACATACAGTAGGTGTTCAATAAATGCTTACTGAATGAATGAACTGAAGCACTAGTGAGTGAGTCTCTTGGCTTCTGTGGAGACCCAGGCATGCTACTCACACATCCGGGGTCATGGAGGGGGGACCTGTTACCTTCAGTTTTCTCCTGGCATTGAACTTCTTCAGGCAGTCCACGGTCTCCTGTCTGTGCATGCAGGAGGCCACAGTGGACCGGTGCTGGAGGGGATGGGGGAGAGGTCTGTGAGCAGAAAGCAGGCTGGAAGAAAGGCCCACCCAAGTCCCCTCAGCAGGACATCTTAATGGGAGTGTGGTTGGCATCTTGAGGGGGAGGTTCTTTGTTCTAGGGGATGTCATAAACACAGCAGGAGGTTAAGCACCCAGGAAGTTTAGCACCACTGGCAGTGGCAGTAGCACCCTCAGTCATGACACCAGCCCAGAATACTCCCCATTATCAAATCCCCCCCAGGACCACACGGGGTCTGAGTCTGTGGACTAAGGCCCCCTTGGCCCCATGCTGGGAGTCTGGGCCCCGAGGCCTGGAGGGGCTCTGGGGAGGGGCCCTGCTGAAAAAGGCTCACCGAGATCCAGGGGTGCTTGAGGGCCTCGGCAGCCGTGATGCGTTTGGATGGGTTTATGGTCAGCATCTTATTGATCAGGTCCTTAGCTTCCGGAGTGACGGTGTCCCATTCGGGTGACGGGAACTGGAAGGGGCAGAGGGGCCAGGTTTGCCCAGCCTGCCCCAGGCCACCCCTGCGATCCCCCAGCCCCTGACTGGCAGGGGAGCAGGCAGGGGTCCCACGGCCTACCCACTAGGGCGTTGTAACTAGGGGGAGATGGAAGCTCCTCAATGCAGGGACCCCTCTGGGACCAGGGGAGGGACAGATCCCCTGATCCCAGGATAATTGGAACAGGGACAGAGGGAAGGGTACCCCCCCCCCATTATTCTGAAGCTGTGCCTCACCTGGAGAGTAGCAGTTCAGTGATTTCAACTCAGGGTTCAGAATTAGAAGGCCTGGGTTCAAGTCCTGGCCCTGCCTCTGCCTGGCTGTGAGACCTTGGGCGAGTCACATGACCCCTTGAGCCACCCCCAAGAGACGTTGTGAGGATTGAATAGGCTATACAGCACATGGCTCATAGTTTGGTAGATACCAGCTATGCAGAAAAACAGGATAGCTTGGTAGATAAAAGCATTCATGCTAGAGCCAGACTGCCTGGGTTCAAATCCCAGTTCCATCAGGACTTAGCTGTGTGACTTGGGCACTTACTTAACCTCTCTGTGCCTCAGTTTCCCTTCATGTAAAATGGGGATAGTAATAGTACCTATGCTATAGATTGGAGTGAGGTGTAAATGTGGTGATATATGTAAAACATTTAGAAGAGTGTGAAAGAAGTGTTAAAACCAGAACCAGGTGCCATCGAGTCAAGTCTGATTTATGGTTCTTTGCTGTGTGTCAGAGTAGAATTGTGCTCCATAGGATTTTCGATGGCTGATTTTTCAGAAGTAAGTCGCCAGTCCTTTCTTCTGTGATGCCTTTGGGAGAACTTCAGTTAGCAGCTAAGCTCGTTAACCATTTGCACCACCCAGGGAAATAAGTGTTAGCTATTATTATTATTTTATAGAGAGAGAGGGAGAAATAAAAGCCTGGCCTCTAGGGCTGCTCCACCACTTCTGACCCCACTTTGGTGCTCTTTCTGTCATCTTGGGTCCCACGGGATAAAGCCTGTCACTTTGGGCTTCCAGTCATTAGGTGTGTCGTGCTCATCACTGGGCCCCGGTCAGTCTTCAAGTTCCACCTGTGGTTCATCTCCTGCCCCAGAACTAGAGAGCGAGAGTGGCCCTGAGTAGGAAGGGCGGGCAGGAAGGAGGCACCCTCTGGTCTCTAGCCTCCCTGGGCGTCAACTTTCATTGGGAGGGGACCCAGGGATGGGGGGCGGGAGGGTAGGGGAGGAGCGACACTCACATCATAGGCGCCGGCTTTGATCTGCTGGTACAGGCGATGCTGGTCCTCATCCCAGAACGGAGGGTACCCAACCAGCAGGATGTACAGGATGACCCCTGGGGAGAGGACGGGAGAACCTTCAAGCCCCTGTGTGCAGGACAGATGAAGGGTGGCGCGGGGGCGGGTGATGGAGAACGAAGAGAGCAGCCACCAGAGGAGAGGGTGGCCAAGGAATAAAAGGGTCTTGCAGTTCCCAGGACAGACTCACCACAGGCCCACAGGTCCACGGGCTTTCCATACGGGTCCTTACGCAGCACTTCCGGGGAGAGGTATCCAGGCGTCCCTGCGAACCCTGCTCCCCAGACACAGACAGGCAGACACACGCACAGAGTTTGGCACTTAAGTAACTCAGAGTGAGGCCCTGCTGGAAGAGGGAACAAGGGCTGCCCGGGAGATGGGAAGACACCTCCGCCCCGCCAGAGCTTAGTGTTACACTATGCAACCCCATGCTGCACTGGACTAGACCAGGGTCGGCAGATACATAGTACACGTGTTCCCACTCCAGTTTATGGCAGAAACCATTAATCAATCACAGAGCTCCTTCCTGCGGGTCCTAACTCAGCTCCATAAGCTTCTCAACACAATCATCTCTGCAGCCACTGCCAATTGATTGCTGTTGACACTTGAGGTGAAATCTATATGCCATGCCAGCTCTACTCCCAACCCTCTTCTAGGAGCTGATGATGGGACAGCGGGGGACCTATTCCTAACTCTGGCTTTGCCCCCTAAGTCCTCGGGTAGGTCTCTTTATCTTCTGGGCCTCCAAATGGGAATTAGGGACTCCTATCTTAAATACTGGAGTCCCTGGGTGGTGCAAATGGTCACGTGCCTAGCTGATAACCAAAAGGTGGACAGTTTGGGCTCACCCAGAGGTGCCTCAGAAGAAAGGCCTGGCGATCTACTTCCAAAAAATCAGCCATTGAAAATCTTACGGAGTGCAGTTCTACTCTGACAAACACGGGGTCACCATGAGTTGGAGTCAACTCCATGGCAACGGGTGGTATCTTAAATACCTCCCAGCATCATTGGAAGAATTAATTGAAACAGTGAATGAAAATATTTTAACAAGTAATCATAAGAATAGCCACTATTTATTAAGTGTATGCTAAACACTGGGCTGAGCATATTATATGCCTGGTTTCATTTAATCCTCACAGCTCTATTTTACAGATGAGGAAACAAAGGCTTAGAGAGGTGAAATGATTTGCCCTGAGTCACACAGCTCATAAGTGGCAGAGTCAGGATTTGAACCCAGAGCTCTGGCTCTTAACCATTGATTCATATGGCCCACTAAGAAAGTACTTCAGATAGTTAAAAGAAACTAAAATTACACCAAAATCTCAAAGACCACTGGATCATCTGAGCTGAAGTCCTGTCTATACTCCTTTGAAGTGTCCTTGACTTTTCCAAGTTTGTTAGCCTCTTTTTCCTCATCTGTAAAATCAGGATAATGCTTTCTAGCACCCAGGCTGCTAGAGGAAGTCCCTAGCCAACAGTGAGGGTACGTGCTCATGGGAAGAAGCCATGTTACTATTTTAATGATAACCATGTCCCTGAGCCTGGCCCCCAGGGAGACAGGATGGGCAAAGCCCACTGACCTACAGAGGCTGGCTGGGGTGGGGCCTTACACCCTGAGCATTGCCTTGACTGCAGAGATGGTCCAACAGCCATCCCCAACCCATCCTGCTTGGCAGAGGGTTCCTACAGGTCAATGTGTCAACACAAAGTTGGCCCCCAACATCCTTGCCACCTCCCGCCCGCACCCCCACTCACCGAACCATGCCTGTTGCTCCCCCTCCACCTCTATGGCCAGGCCAAAGTCCGCCAGCTTCACCGCAGCGCCTTTGAGCTTGGAGGCCAGCAACAGATTCTCAGGCTTCGCAGGACCAGAGAGGTGGGAGAAAGGGGGAGGAAAGGGCCAAGAGGACCATCAGCAGATTCAGAACCTCACCTCTGGGGGGCCCAGGTTTATAGGAGGAGCAGCTGGATAAAGGGGCTCCCTGCCCCCACCTCCAGCCCCAGCCACAGGGCCCTGAGCATCAGTCCTCAGAGAGGGGACTACCTTACACCAAGGCCTCTGTGTTCTACAACAGGAAGACCCTTCCTCTGCCAGCAACCCCTTCCCTTCCCTCCTCTCTCCTCCCCTCAGGGTCTGGAGTTGGGGCTGACGTGAGGGAAAGAAATAGCCACCACCACAACAGGTAAGAGAAAGTAACACCCCTACTACATGCCAGAACCGGGCCAAGTGTTCTGTGTACATTGTCTCATGTATTCATCTCAACAACCCTTTGGGGTGGGTATTAGTATTCACATTTTCCGCAGTGGTCTTCTTACATCCTCTGAAATGGTCGTGCTCTTTCCCACCTCAGGGCCTTTGCACTTCCTGTTCCCGCTGCCTGGATTGTCTTCCTCAAAGCTTCACAAGGTTGGCCCCTTCTCCCCATCCAGCCCTCACCCTCAGGTCACAACCTCAAAGAGATCGCCTGTGACTACTCCATTGAAATGAGGAGCCCCCAGGTGGCCTCTGGCTTAACTCCTTTTTGTTACCTTCAGAGAGTTCATCACAATTTGTAGTGATTTTCCTCATCTGTCTAAGTGCTTGTTCACTATCTGCCGCCCCCAGTAGAATGTGAGTTCCTTATCTGACCTGTTCATTGTATCACCAGCACCTAGGACAGTGGGTGGCATATAAGTATTTGCCATATGTATAAAGATAGAGAAAACCAAGGCTCAGAGAGGTAAGTGACTTGAGCAAGATCACACAGCTGGTAAGTGAGAGCCAGAATTGAGGCAAAGTCTGCCTCCAGAGCTGTGGTCTTAAACACTCTAGGCTGAAAGATAGTCGGGGCTGGTACATGGGACCAGCAGCCAACCGGAAAAAGGCCCCAAACTTGGTTTCTTGGGCATCAAGTCTGCCGCCTTTTGCTGGCTCAGGCCCCCGGAATTCCTTGGGACTTAATATAGAGGGGAGCTGAGAGCATGGACTCTGCAGTTAGAGAGTCCTAGCTTCTAATTCCAGCACTGTCCCTTCTACGCTGTAGAACTTGGGCAGATTATTTCACTTCTCTGAGCTTTAGTTTCTTCCTCAGAAAAATAAGATAATACCTACCTCTTGGGGTGGTATAGGGATTAATTGAGGGGATCCATGAAAAGCACTTAACAGTGGCCTACAGTAAGTGTTGATGAACATTAGGATTCATAGTTCCCGCTTGGGGAGGGGTTCAGAGTCCCTGGAGACAGCTGGTCTCCTTACCCCCTCCAACCCTCTTCCCCACTGGGACTTCCAAGGGGTCCCATGTCTGACCCTTCACTGCCCCAAGCTAGGCGGGACCCAAACAAATATAGCTCCTGTCTGCCCAGCTCGTTCAGGCCTCTTTTGTCCTCTGGGACAGCATTCCCAACATGTCCTGGGTCATGGTAGCCGTCCTGCCCTGATTTGATGAATGTGCTACTAATTAATCTACCCAGAGTGGCCTAAATTTGGGCTGCCTCTCCTCCCTCCTCCCTGTGCAAGGGTTGGAGCTGGAATGGGAACAGGCCCTCTGGGAGAAGAGCCCTGCTGTCTGGCCTGAGACCCTCTCCAAGTACACACTTGCCAGTGGTCTACACCAAGTCCCAAGGAGCTCACTTGGGGTTCCAGTGAGAAACCATGAACTGCCCATGACAGCCAGAGGTGGGTACCCCAACAGGGGTCTAGGCTGACAGGAGCATGCTCAGGGAGGGGGCTGAGGATGAGGAGGGCCTGGAAAGCATGCCCTGGTGAGAACGGGGAGTGCAGCCTGCAGAAGACTCAGGAGCTGCAACATCGCTGCTTCCAGTATGTCCAGGGCTGCTCTGAGCTGGAGGTTGGTCTCTGTGACCCCAGAGGGCAGAACTGGGTGCACGGATGAAACCCCAACAGCAGGAAAGATCGAAAGACCGTTGTCCAACATACAAGGGACTATCCAATAGGGAGTGAGTTTGTCATCATTGAAAAGCAGAGGTTTGATGGACACCTAGCAGAGTCACCCTAAAGGGACTACAACAGGAGCAGGAACTGGTTGAGTGCTGTTTTTGCACAAGACTACTGAGGACGCAGGATCCAGGGCTAGAAGACCAGGGCTACAGTCCTAGTTCCTCCATGAATGAACTGCCTGTCCTTGGGCAAATCCCTTGAACTCTTTAGGCCTTAGTTTCCTGCTCTAAAAAATGGGGACGACGTTATAAGCTACCAGGCTCTGTTGCCATGAAGCCACACAGAGTAATCCATGAAGCGTGTGCTAATGGGTCAGGGCTGGATGACTGGGACCAATCCTAGACTCCATGTCTGCTTAGTCCTGCCAGTCTCTTTAGGGGAGTACTCCAAGAGCCCCAAGTCCTATCGGTCTTTTCCCCCAGCCTGCCAGACATCCCAGGAACAAGAAAAACAACATCTGCTACTGCTGCTAACCAAAATGTCGGCAGTTCGAATCTACCAGCCACTCCTTGGAAACCCTATGAGGCACTTCTATTCTGTCCTATAGGGTCACTATGAGTTGGAATCAACTCGACAGCAATGGGTTTGCTTTGGTTTATCTCATTTGACATCCTCACTCACCCCTCGCAGAGGCTGTTATGGCAATCCCCAAGGTAAAGACACTGAGGCTCCGAGAGGTTAAGATATTCCAGGTCATGCAGCTAGAAAGTGGCCTAGCTGGGATTTGAATCGAGCCTGCCTTCTTGCCCCATGCCCCAGAGTCAGCCATGGCAGTCTAACCTCCTGGCCCAGCACAAAGCACATGGGGCTGGGAGTCGCAAGACTTGGGTCCCAAGCCTAGATGCTTTCCCTCCCTGAGCCCAACTTCCTCATCCAAACAGTGGGGAAGACTCCCTGCCCAGCCTAACTCAGAGAAATTAGGACAGTTCTGATAAAGCCACTGGCCGGAGGAAGGGAAGGCGGGAGTGGGGCAGGCTCCCCCATGAACTGCACCCAGGGGAGGATCAGTCACCTTCAGGTCCCGGTGTACCACCCCCATCTGATGGCAGTGCAGCACGGCCTCCAGGATCTGCTGGATACAGTGACTGGGGAGAGAGGGAAGAAACGGTCCTGGTGTGAGGGCGGGCAAGAGTGCCTCACTCCTGTGCACCCTCTCCAAGTCTACCCAGCACTCACCTGGCATCGGCCTCACTGTAATATTCCCGGGCTACTATGTCTTCAAATAGCTCCCCACCGGTGACCCTGGGGAGACAGGCAAGAATCACCCTCCCACAGAGGCCACAGGGCAGCCTCGTCTACAGGAGTCTCCAGGAAGCTAAGGGTGGGCCCCCAGGGACCTGAGAACCTCAGCCTCAAAAGGAGGGGGTAGGGCTGAAGGCCCGGGGACGACTCGGGGTTCCCCTGCTGCAACACCCTTGCTAGTTTCCAGCACACCCTCCACTGACTCCCCTTCCCCCTCTGTCCCCTGCCCTTCTCCTGCCCTGGGCTCTGCGCTGGCGTTAGGACTGTGGCTGGGACATTTGGAACACACCATTCAGGTTCATTAGGTTTCTAGAAACCCAGGGCTGTTTGTCACAGATGAGACCAGCGTCGCTGAGTTTTCTTGCCAACCCAAGAACCATCGAAGCCTATCTTTTCATTATTGCTTTTGCTTAAATTGACTAGATTTAAAAACCTAAATAAATCCCAAAAGGAAACTTTATATGGCTACTGTGAGTGGGAAACTGGCACCACCAGCCATAAATAAAAGAGAAAAGCAAATAAATACGTAACCACAAAGGTTCAAAGTGTTTGTTGGTGGAGCAAGAAAACCAACTTGCACTGCTTGGGAAACTCTGGACCAGAAGAGGGAATTCAGCCCAGCCCAGGGACATTTGGGACTCCTTAGCCCGAGGGACCCATCCAGGTCATCCTTGCTCAGGCTGCCCCCAACACCTTTGACCCATGCCAGGGTGGGGCCAAACTTACAGGTCGAAGATCAGGTAATGGTGTCCCTCCTCAGAGATGCTGTCATGGAGTCGGACTGTGGGAGGGGCAGAGGCGGTGGTTACATCCATGGCCGAATGCTCCCCACCCCCAGCCTCCCTCTCACCCCTCAAACAGTCAGCATTCCAATTGCTCAGATGGACACTGAGCACAAACTAGGTACCAGGTATTTTGACAAATGCAGGTGGGCAACAGCTTGCTGCCCCGAGTGCTCTGACATCGCCAAAAGAGGCCTGGGTTTAAAGACAATGGACTCCTGCTCTGGATGAAGCTTGGTCCCCTCTCCTTTCCAAGGCCTCAGCTTCCTTACTGGGCAGGCCAGCCTCATGCAAAGAGCCTGTGGCTCAGATCTCTGCGACTTACGTGCTGTGTGACTCTGGGCAAGTTGCTCTGCCTTTCTGAGCCTCGGTTTCCTTGCCCGACAATGAAAATGAAAGTCCTAGACTTGCAGGGTTGTTGCAAGAGTTCCATGAGGCACACAGTCGGTGGGTGCTCACTCAGTGCTGGCCCTGAGCTAATGTCCCTGCTCTGCTGCTAGGACAGAGGAGACTATAGAGCCAGGTGGAGGTGGGAGTGACAGCTGTCTCTGAGTGCTGGTGTGCTGAGAAACTGCCGTCTCTTCACACCTCATTTGCCAAGAACAGAGGCAAGGCTCCCTGGAGCCCAGGGCTCTCAAAATTACCCTCTGAGCTCCTAGAAGGGGGGCCTGAGGCTGGGCTGACTCTGGGGGCTGCACACATCCAGCCAAGGGCGAGTGCTCCCAGGACAGATTCACATCCTGCCCTAAGCCACAACGTAAAAACGTCCATGGAGGGGAGGCGGCTCAGTGAATTATGATACATCCACGTGATAGAAAATTACACAGCTATTAAAATGATGCAGCAGTTATATATCCACTGGTTCAGAATCATCTCCAAATTACATTGTTTGATGAAAAAGCGAGGTACAAAACAAAAGGGTGTATTTAAGCTTATATATGACATACTTCTCTCTGGAAGGATACAGAGAAGCTGGCATTGGGGGTGCCTTTAGGGAGAGCAAATGGCGGAGAAGTGGTCACGGGTGGTAGGAGACTTATTTTTCACTGTAAACCCCAGTGTCATCTGAATTTTGGCCATGTGCATGCATTCCCGATTCAACATTGAATCTCCTGGATTGTTTATGGGCTCTCATATCTGCACATGTGGTTTGGGGAGTGGACTGAGGACAGGCATCAAGTATCCAGAGTGGGTGCTTATGGGGGAAGGGAGGTGGGAGCCGAGGATGGATGATGAAGGGGACACAAATTGAAACACTTCTTTTAATTCTTAAATGATAACACATATTTATAAATAATTGCTGAAAGATGTTTTAAATATACTTTATAGCAAAGAAAAGCAGGTTGCCTAACAGCACCTATGTTGTTGCTGTGTACCGTCAAGTCGATTCCAGCTCAGAGCAACCCTATGTGACAAAGTAGAACTGCCCCATAGGGATTTCTTGGCTGTAATCTTTACAGAAGCAGAACACTAGGTCTTTCTCCCGTGGAGCTGCTGGGTGGGTTCGAACTGCCAACTTTCCGTTAGTAGCCAAGCACTTAACTATTGTGCTGCCAGGGCTCCTTAATAGCACCTGTAATACTGCTTTAATTACTTTTTTTTTTTAATTGTTGTGCTTTAAGTGAAAGTTTACAATTCAAGTTAGTCTCTCATACAAAAATTTACACATACATTCTTATGTGACCCTAGTTGATCTCCCTATACTGTGACAGCACACTTCTTTCCATCCTGGATTTCCCGTGTCCATTCAATCAGCTTTAATTTCTTATCAACATTTTATTATCAAAATATGCAAACATACAGTCAAGTGGACACTTGTATATCCACCACCTAGATTCTATCATTAATATTTTTCTATACTTGTTTTATCACATATCTATTCATTCCTCTATTCATCCATTAATCTTGTTTTTTTTTATGCATTTCAAGGTAAATTGCCTGTTTAATTTTTAAAATGCATATGTGTATCTGTGTAGTAGATGCCATTGGAGTAGCGTTGCCAGGTAAAATACAAATGCCCAGTTAAATCTGATTTTCAGATAAATGATAAATATTTTTTGGTGACGCAGTGCTTAAAGCGCTTGTCTGCTAACTGAAAGGTCGGCGGTTTGAACCCACCACTCGCTCCATGGGAGAAAGATATAGAAATCTGCTTCCATAAAGATTTACAGCCTTGGAAACCCGATGGGGCACCTCTCCTGTGTCCCATAGGGTCGCTGTGGGTTAGAACCAACTCCACAGCAATGGGTTTTGGGGTTTTTAAGTATAACCCACATATTTCATATGTGGGATATACTTATACCAAAAAATTTTTGCTGTTTATATGAAATTCAAATTTAACTGGGCATCCTGTATATTTTTAGTATGGCATCTGGCAAGCCTACATTGGTGCCCTGTCCAGATCTTCTTGAGAAGGTTGGTGCACCCACGCCCCAGCTGCTGGGAGTATTGGCTGCTAACAGTTGCTTCCTCCCCCTTTACTGGAGAATTGCCCTTGGCTGATGGGAGTCACCTTGCCCACAAGGTTACCTGCAGCCTTCAACCAGTGATTGTCCAATGGAGATGTAAGAGGCGGCAGCGAGGTGGTACAAAGGGCTGGTCGGCTTGTCTCAAGGAGAGACAACACTGCCATGTGATTTATGCTCCAGAGGTCCCCCTCCCCTACCTGGGATCAGGTCAAATTTAGACTTAACTTGAGACAACATCCTTGCTCGGCTCCTTCCCCTTTTCTATCCTGCTTCACCTCACCCCTTACAGGTCTCCCCTGGGAGCACACATCAGTAAACCACAATCACCAAATCCCTACCTCAGGCTCTGCTTCTAGGGAACCTGACCTGAGATAATATGTATAAGGATACTTGAGAAAAACCTGGAAGTGTATATTAAAAAAACGTTAGCTCTAGATGGTGGGGTTATAGGAGATACTTCTAAAATTATCTGTTCTTATTTACCTATAATAAACTTGCATTATTTGTGTATCAAGATAAAATTTTGGAAAACAACGTTCCTCTCCTGATCTTCCTTGAAGTGGACTCTTGGTGAGCCTGCCCCAGGCAGCCGTGTGAGTCTTCCTTTCTTGAGTGTGAGAAGCTCTGAGAAGCCAGCTGCAGCCAGAATCATCTCAGAAAGGACTTTTAGAATGGGGTCAGTGATCTTTGGAAGGAGCCTTCCCTCCCTCAAAGATTGGAGTCCCAGATCCACCCTCTGACCAGGAGCCTCAGCCCCTACAGAGAAGATCCTTAGAGCTCAGGGAAATGGACATAATTGCAATGGGGGTGGGGTGGGCATTTGCTGTCTCTAGCTCAGATGGTGCCTTTGTGCTAAGCGGTTAAGGTCGGTAGATCGAATCCCCCTTGGATTTTCCTCCTTGGAAAACCCTATGGGGCAGTTCTACCTTGTCCTATAGGGTCCTATGAGTTGAAATCAACTTGACGGCAATGGGTCCCCCTGAGGAGCTGGTTGAGGGGGGACACAAGCTGGACTTCAGTCCCCATTAGGCAGTGAACAACTCATGCAACCATACTGGAGTCTGCTTCTGTCCCTGAGAGGTGGCTGAATCATACCTCTGAGCCCAGGAGACAGGACTCCTTATTTCAATGCTATTTTCACACACAAAGCTTCCCTTTCATTGGTGGAGGCTGCCTAGAGGAATAACACAGTCAGGGTTCTAGAGGAAGGGCAGGTTTCAAGGGCCACAGACTGTTGGGTGGGGTAGTAATGGTCTCACCTCTTGGTAAAGTGCTTGGCTTGTCTATGTCAGTTGAGTTATGCTGTCACTTTATGACTTTCAAAAATACTATCATAGAACAAATCTGTAACCTAGTTTTCGTTTACGTAGCTGGACTCATGAATTTTTGACATTCCTGTCATATTTCCAACAGTTGAAATTTCTTCCTTGAAAGTTGAAGGACAATACTTGCTCCCCTACCTATGTGTGCCCCTGACACCGCACGCCTGATATCCACTTGGGAAGTTAAATAGAAAGACTAAGAACATGGGCTCTGGAGTTGGATTTGCTCGATTCATATCCCACCTCCACCTCTTACAAGCTGTGTGACTTTGGGCAAATGATTTAGCCTCTCTGAGTATCCATTCCTAACAATAGTGCTCATACCACTGGACTGCTATGAGAAATTAATGAGATGATGCTTGTAAAGCACATAGCACAATGCTTAGCACTAGGAAGAACTTAATAAATGAAGACTTTATGATCTCCATTATCAATGAACCACACTTCCCTTCCCCACCCCAAATCATCTTCTGGATTCTCAGGTTGTTCCTGGCACAGTCCAAGTCCCCTTCTCGCTGGGGTGGCCTTTCAGAGTTTGCCTCATCTACAGGTGGTAACAGTCCAGAAAGCAGGGTATCGTCCTCCCCCAAGCAGGATTGGAGGAATAAAGATGCTTTGTACATGGCACAGTTGGACCAAGCTGTGTGAGCCAAGTGGCTACACATAGGCAGCAACCAGTAACCTTGGCTGGATTCTCTAAACAGGTTGGATAGGACTCTGTCTAAGTTTCTCAGGTTCTACACCCTTGGCTGTACCTCTTTGCACTTCTTTGGGCAGAAATTACAACCTACTTTAAAATGAGATGTTTGAAGGATCAGGAAGGGGCACCCTCCAAGGACCCTTCCAGCCCTGACAGTAGCTGAAGTTTCTTTGAGGGTTTTCCTGTTCTGGGATACCCTGCCGTGCTCCCAGCAACCTGCGTAGCAGCCACCTCCACCCCAACTCCCACACCCTGAGCCTCAATCCTTCCACACATCCTCAGTGCCTGGCAGAGACCTCAGATCGTGGGATGCACTTGACATTAGGTGAATGGATGAAAGCAATGAATGACTTGATGAGAATGACAATAATGAAGATGATAGTTAACATTTCTGAGCATTTACCGTGTACCAAGCTTGTACTGGAGCCTCGGTGGCGCAGTGGTTAAGAGCTCCACTGCTAACCAAAAGGTTGGCAGTTTGAATCCACCAGGCACTCCTTGGAAACCCTATGGAGCAGTTCTACTCTGTCCTATAGGGTTGCTGTGAGTTGGAATCAACTTAGACAGCAATGGATTTGGTTTTTTGGTTTAGGCTTGTACTGAGTGCTTTACTTGCAATATCTCGTTTAATCCTCCCAACAATTCTAGAAGATGGGTACTGTGATTATCCCCATTTCACAGAGGAGGATACTGAGGCTCAGAAAGGGTCATAGCCTGCCTAAGCTCAAACACCTAGTAAATGGCAGAGCTGGGATTTGAACCCAGGTATGTCTGACTCCAAAACCCATTCTCTTAACCACAGTGTTGCCTCCACTGATGACCAAAAATCTTGATGACTCAGAAAAACAAACCCATTGCCGTCAAGTCAATCCTGACTCATAGGGACCCCATAAGACAGAGTAGAACTGCCCCATAGGGTTTCTAAGCAGTGCCTGGTGGACTTGAACTGCCAACCTTATGGTTAGCAGGAGAACTCTTAACCACTAAGCCACTAGGGTTTGCCTTAATGGCTCAGAGAAATGATAATCCTATGGTGGTGTTTCAGGCAAGAGGATATGTCTTAAGTAAGGTTATTCTGTGGGAAAGTGTAGGTTGGGGAAGAGGAGGGCAGCTTAACGAGAATGAAGCACTTGCCTTGGGACAGCCTTGTGCTATGCTTTATTGAATCATCACAATCCTATGAGGCAGGTATCATTCCCATATTCCAGATGAGAACACTGAGCTTCAGACTGGTTATACAACATGCCTAGGGTCACACAGCAGTTAAGCAGCAGACCCAGGATTTGAGCTGCAGTCAGTCAGCCCCAGAGCCCATTACTTACTGCTCCATTATAGCTGGGAATGAGAGGGAGAAGAAGGTGCAAATGGGAAGGGGCAGCATTGACCTGAGACAGCTGACATCGTGCAGCAACACACACACACACACACACACACACACACACACACACACACACACACGCTCCCTCCTCCTTCCTCCAGAACAGACAACCTTTATAAGAACCACGGGATTTTATAGTCAGTGATCATTCACAACCCCCTTCATCATACAGATGGGAAGCTGAAGGCTGGGAGAGGGCAGGAACCGCTCAGGGCCGCCCAGTGAGGAAGGAAGCAGGGCAGGGACCAGGGTCCAACCAGCGTTCCTCCCTGCAAGCCCCCCCGCTGCCTCCTCTTTGATTCTGGCCCTGGAGCCTCTGGCTGCTCTTGTGCAGCTTTGCTCCCTTTCCCAGGCACAGCTAAGGGGAGGTGCCTTCTGGGTATAAATAGCAGATGGAGATGCTTTGCTTGAGCAAGAGAGTTAACCCTTGGGGCTCTGGTCACCTAGAGATGCTTCTCTCCCACTTCTCTCCCGAGGGAGATGGTGTGGTGGCTGTCAGAGTTAGGATATCCCTTAGAGAGCACCTAGGCCTTGCTTTCAAAACATAGTCTATGAACCAGTAGCCTTGGCATCAGCTGGGAGCATGTTAGACATGCAGAATCTCAGGCCCCATCCCACTGAACCAGAATCTGCCTTTTAACACAATGCTCAGGTGATTAAAAAAGGAGAAGTGCTGGTCTGTATAGCCCTCTCCTTGTGAAGATAGGGAAAAGTGGCTCAGAGAGGGTAGCTCTTCTGCCCAAGGTCACACAGCCATTCCCTGATAGAACTAGATCTAAAATCTGCACTTCCTCCCGTCATGACTCAGAATCCTGGAGGGCAGGGGTGAAGGCTCCCACCCCCACCCCACCCAAGTTGCAAGGGTGGGGGCGGTGTCAGGCAGTAACTTGCTGTTTTAGTGCCCTTTTGGCGGGCTTTGCTGCCCTAGCTCTGCTCCCATTCACCTGGACCCTACCCTGCTGGCCTCTCCACATAGCCTGCGTCCGGTAGACCCCTGAGGCAGGGACCAACGGAGCTTGCCTCTCGGAGATGGGTGGCAGGGCTAGGGAGGCAGCAGGGCCACAACACCAGGCTGACTCAGCATGGGGGTGGACTTGGGGAGTGGGCCACACAGGCCAAGGCCAAGCGTTTCCCTCCTGGCCTATTTTCGTCTCTCTTAGAGCTCCAAGAGTTTTCCTGAAACAGCTTTTCCGAAGGAGGCTGCTGGCAGCGTGGGCAGGAAGGAAGGGCCCCCTTTTCACTTTCCCCCCAACCAAGCTGGTCTCTGAGGAAGGTGGAAACTATTAAAGATGCCCCCTTCCTCATCTCTACAGTTGCTGTGCCCAGAGAAGAGAGCACCCCTTCCACAAACACCCACATACCCCTCTCCCCTCCATCCCCCCTCAGACCCCTTACTCGTCCCCCAGGGCTCACCAATGTTGGGGTGCTTCAGCAGGCGGCAGATGCGGGCTTCACGCTCCAGCTTCTGATGGTCTGAAACACAGATGACCAGGTGAGGTCCAGGTGAGGGAGGAGCCTCCACCCACTTCATCTCTCCCTCCTCACAGCCTCTTATCTCCACCTCCCAGGGCAGCCCTTAGGGGTTGGAGAAGCTTGCCTTTTGGCCAGGGCCTCTGGATTCTCCAGGAAGGCAGAGGGGTGTAGTGGGAAGAGTGAGAGGCCTGGGATGCAAGTCCCATCCCCTCTCTGGGCCTCAGTTTCCAGAACTCTCAAATGAGGGGCCTCTCTGAGCTCCTTCCTGTAGGAGGTCCAAGCTCCTTCCACCAGCCTATAATGCCCTCTGAGGCCTGACTCCTGCTGCCTCATCCCCCAGCTCGGCCCCTCAGGGTCTATGCTCTGCCCAGACTGAAAATCATTTCTCTGATCATGCTTCACCAGCCCCTTCACTTTGGGACCTTTGCCTGTGTGATTCTCTCAGCCTGGAAAACGTCTTCTCAACCTCCCACTCTGTCATTCACTGGCCATCATTTATTTCTACTCATCCTTAGATGTCATCACCTCCAAGAAGCCTGCCCTGACTGCCAGGTGGGTAGGGGGCCTCTCCCCTGTGCTCTCACAGCCCCTGACAGCACATTTCATGCTGTCTTATCACCTGCATCCTTGAGGGCAGGGATCTGGCACATAGTAGGTGCTCAAGAAATAACTGAATGAAAGAACAAGCAACTGAATAAATGAACATGTTTCCAAGGGAGTAGATATTCTCTTCAGGAGAGGAGCTGTATTAATTCACAAAAGCCACTTCCCTTTCAGAGGACTCAGGAACAAAGACAGCCCTGAAGAGTGTGTAGAACTTCTCTGTGGCAGCCTCAGAGTGTACCCAGGGTACTCATACCTGCTTTCCCGGACTTCTGTCCAAATCTCCTAGGCCTCCCCACCCATCCGTGAGAGAGACCTTGCTCAGGATTTGCTACCTGTGGCCTCTGACTCTCAGGCTTTTGGGTACAGTCATATCTGTGACTCCCTTCAGTTCTCCCAACAACCCTGGGCTGGGGGCATCGCTGTCCCAATTTTATAGACCAGGAAACTGCAGCTTCAGTAAGGTGAGGCCTCAGTAGTAGCCAGTTCCCTTTCTTGTGCTTTTCTCACAAATTTGGTAGTTAACGCCTTAATTAAAAAAAAAAAAAGCAATAAAAAAGGAACTGCTAACAAATGTTGAGTATTTACTATATGTCAGGTATGTGCAGAGCTCTTTATATGTATTTCTAGCCCTCACAACAACCTTTGAGGGAGGTTCTATCATTGTTCTGGTTTTACGGATGAGGATACAGAGGTTCAGAGAAGTTAAATAACTGGCCCAGTGTGACACCCGTGGTGAATGGAGGAGCCACGTGTTGTACCCAGGCAGTCAGACCCCAGAGCCTGGGCTTTAAAACCCTGTTGTATACTGCTCTCCAGGCCCTGACTCATAACTACCACCTCCACCTGCCCCCAATTCCCAGATGGGAAAATCAAGGCCCACAAAAGGGAAATGATTTACCCAAACTCACATGGACACTCAGAGGCCGAGCATGGACTAGAACCCCAGTCTCCTAACAGCCCTGTGAGAGCAGGCAGGCACGAGAGAGGGTGATGAGGATGGAGAAAGGGCCCCCTTCCCCAGCCCCAGCCCCACCCCTTGTCCCCGGGTAGCCAGCTCTCCTTCTTCCCCTCCCTCCTCCATTAGAGCTATCACTGGCCATCCTCCAAGGACCACAGAAGCCAAGATCAATACCGAAATGTGGCTTTTCCATCAGTAAAGCAATTAAGTACAATTCTGTTTCCATAGGCTCAGCTCCCCAGCTGAAGACTAGCTGCAGGCTGGAGAAGGGGAGGTGGGGCCAGGCTGTGGGGGTGCACCCCTGGCTCCCCCTCCCGCCCTGGCCTCCTTCCATACCCTCCAGGGTAGGGGATGCCGATTCCTAGACAGAGGAGGGGGAGCTCCCTAAGGGTGGCCGAGGGCTGAGGAAGGCTGGACATCCCCCCCAACACACATCCTGCCTCCCACCCACCGCACCACAGCAGAACCAGAAATCAGGCAGGTCAGAGTTGGGCCTCTGAGAGGGGGCTGTGGGGTCGCTCTGACTAGGCTATACATTTGGGGGAGGGGGATCAATCCAGAATTTTGATGTTTTCTACACATGAGGTTATAATCCAAGGAGCAGGGTTACACTGACAGGATTGAAAACAGCAAACGCTGGTTACACAACTCTAAACTTGTGTCTAGTTACCAGGTCTTACTGCTGGAAACTCTAGGAATTAACTGTTTTTGTAAATCTTGCCATCATTTTGTGAACAGTACAATTAGACTGCATTGCAACGTGCAGTGTTAAAAGCATTAATTTGTTGAACGTAAACATATACATTATGCCGTCATTTTTATAACCCTATTTGAAATGTCTGCATTTTCGTATATAGACCAATGTTAGGGACCATGCTGCTCTTGACCTCTGAGGACTTGCTCTGTTATGTGGGTGGGGAAACTGAGGCCCAGAGAAGAAAGGTCCCTTTATCAATGTCCCACCTCATCAGGGGGTCAGGCCTTATATTAAAACCAGAGCTCTGAGGACCCACTCCTAGACTCCTCTTCCCTCCAGCCAATTGTTCATGGCAGCCAGGGAGTTCTTTTTGAAAATATAAATTAGATGATGTTAATCTCTGGCTTCAAACTCTTCAACAGCTTCCCAAAGTACTTATAATACAGTCCAAACTCCTCACTTTAGCCAACAAGGCACTGCCTCATCTCAGGCTACCCTCCTCTCAGCCATGAAGTTCCAGTCACACTGACCTCAGGCACACAAAGCTCCTTCCCACCTCAGGGCCTTTGCACGTGCTATGCCCTCTGTCTGGACTGTTCTTCCCCTGGGGTTCCCATGGTTGCATCATTTCATCAGACAGGTGTCACTACTCCTCCCCTGCCCCGGAGAGCCCTTCCTTGGCTGTCTTATCTAAAAGTATCCCTCCACTGCTCCATCGCTACCCCATGACTTTGTCTTATTTTCTTTATAGCACTCATTGCTACCTGAAATCACCCAGTTTATTCATGTGTTTCATGTTCTTTTCAGTCTCTCTCCTTAGAAGATGGGCTCAGTAAGAGCAAGACCTTGTCCCTTGGTCATTGCCACGTTCCCAAGGCCTAGCTGCTAAGTAGCTCGTCAGTTCCCATAGCTAGTAAGCGGCAGAGCTGGGATTTGAATCCGTATTCACAATCACTATACGATATTGCCTCCCACTCTAATAACGCATTTATTGATCAATCAATCCATCCAGCTCAGTAGAGTTCCATAACGGTGAAAGGGCAGAGAGAAGCTGGGAGTCTCCAGCCTCCTAAGTGGGTACCTGGAAGGGGTGCCCCCAAATGCCCAATCTGATGCTTTCTGAACCTTCTCCCTCCCTCCCTGGGGACAGGTCTCCTGGTGTTAGGGGTGAGGGGGTCGGCCCTGCCCATGGCTCAGCAGGCAGGGTTGGGTGGATGCGCTGGGGTAAGGCCCCTGGGGCCAGAGAGTCCCAGTGGGACAGGCCAGGGTAGGGGTAAGGGGTGGGAGAGGAAACGCAATCATGCAGACGGGCAGGGCTCTGCCTACAGAGAGGAGTGGGCTTCAGCAGGCCTGTGGGCATCAGGATTCTGGCAGGAGGCATGTGAGCCAGGGAGAAAAGAGGCCTCGAGTCTGGGAACAGGAAGTGCATCCCACTCCTCCATAGGGCAATAACAGGATTCCTAGTCCTGGGAAGTTGGAGAAATAATCCCAGGAACCAAGAGTGCCAGGGAAGGAGGTGGGGAGGAGGACAGGGAAGACCCCCTCAGAGGCTCCCTCCCATGCACCTGAAGTTCAGGTGCAACCTGAATGAGGTCGTGCAATGTTTCCCACTTGGCGACCTGAGACTGGTGCCAGGGGGCCAAGGAAGTGACCCCTCAATGCTTGGAGTGGACAGTGGGGACGGTGGAGGTCACAGTACCCAGGCCAGTCACCTCTGGCTGCACCAGACCACTAAAAACAGTTGCCATCAAGTCCATTCCGACGCATGGCAACCTCGTGTGTGCTGGAGTAGATCTGCACTCCATAGGGTTTTCAATGACCATGATCTTTTGGAAATGGATCACCAGGACTTTCTTCCACAATACCTCTGGATGAGTTCGAACCTCCAACATTTTGGTTAGCAGTCAAGCACTTAACCATTTGTGCCAGTCCTAAAATGTTTTCTCTTTCTGTGTGTGCCGAGGTGGGGAAAAAGCTAGGAGGTGTGTGGAGCACCTAGCAGGTAGGTATTGCTCCATGCACATTAGTTAATTCACTGAGGACGGGATTTAAATCGTCCAGGAGCTTGGGCCCCGCCCTCGGGGGTGGAACTCAGGCAGCTGCCTTTTTTCTAAGGGGATTTGGAGGGAGCTTGGGAGAGGCCAAATTTTTACTTTCATTTCGTTTATTTCCTTATGGTTTATTTGCACTGTTTATTCTATGAGCATGTAAAAAAAAAAAGTGGCTAGTTTAAGAATAAACCATAAAACCAAACCCATTGCTGTCAAGTCAATTCTGACTCATAGCAACCCTATAGGACAAAGTAGATCTGCTCCATAGAGTTTCCAAGGAGTGGCTGGTGCATTCGAACTGCTGACCTTTTGGTTAGCAGCCATAGCTCACCACAGCTCTTAACCACTGTGCCACCAGAGTATCTCCTGGGTTTGGGAACCTCTTGCTAAAAGAGGCCAGGCCAGGCGGGGAAGGGGAACTACAGCTCCCTGGGAGGGGTGGATAGAAGCCGCAGGTGGGTACAGCCTCTTTTGGGAGCTGCCAGAAGTCATCCAGGAGTGCCAGCAGGAGAGGCTTAGAGAGTGTTGCCAAATATTCAGCATCCAGATCCACTGGGGGCACCTTGAGTGGCAAACAAAGAAATCTGCTAAAAGAAGCTCGCTCTTCCTCTGCTGCTGGGAGAACATGGGCTGGCAGTTGGCACACTTCTTGGAGGAGGTTCCCCTGATAACCTGCCCACCCCGTGCTCCTCCCTCACCTAGTCCCAGATCACCTTCCTCCCAGGAAGTCAAATAGTCAACACTTCACCAAAGAGAGGAGCCTTGGGCAGCTGCTGCCCGGCATAGCCCAGAGTCTGTCTATGCTGCCGAGGAATGCTTAGTCACAGTCCAGAAAGGGGCAGTGCCCCTCCACGTTCCCCCATGCACATCTGTCTCTCTCTGTGAAGGGGTGCTGAAAGAGTGTGTGTGTGTGAGTGTGAGTGTGAGTGTGCCTGAGTGTGTGGTGAACTGACCTAAGATCCCCAGCATCGGGGGAGGGCGTCAGTTCCTGACCCTCCCTCCTCCTGGGGGCAAACTCAACATGTCACCACAAGTCGTGGCACTAGCCCTGTCTCCAGTGTATCTCAGGGATTGGGACATCTCCCTTGATTACTGGAGACACAAAGCACAGAGAGGGTGCCAGCTTGCCACTGGTCACACAGCGATGGCACGGCTAGTCCATACATCTGGGCACGTGGCAGTCCTACTGCCGCCTCCCTGCCTGCCCTGGGCTCCCTGCCCCTGCCCTCAGCCCTGGCCCTGGCCCTGGCTCCACACCTTCCAAAGGTCTCACCCTTTCACGCCAGCCTTTCAGTTCCTCCCCAAGCACCCTCTGGAGGTCAAGTGTGCATCACCCTAGGGCCCTGGGACTTCAGAGACCCTTCCCATTTAGGCCCCCTCTGCTGAGTCTCTTCTCCCTGCAGGACACTGGCCCGTCCTGCAGGGGAGTGTGGTAACCAGGAGAGAGTGCTGAGCTCCCAGCAAGACGCAGACAGAGAGATGAAAGGCAGCAATACACAGTCCAATGAGGGGCCTGCTGGGAGGCCTATCGGAACAGTGTGAACACGCTGTACCAGCCACAGTGCAGGGTCTTTGTGAACCACACACCTGCTGGGCCCTGGCCCAGACACAGCTGTGGCCCGTGCCAGGCAGGGCTCAGCACAGGGACGTCAAATAGCTGGAGGCGAAGCCAGCCCCTCACACAACTTCTCCCACACGGCACAGGCCACGGGCTGCACAGCCCCACACCTGCACCCTCCTCACTTAACAAAATTCTCTCCATCCCCAGGCAGTCCCCAAGACTGCTCATACACTGTTCAGGGTGCAGGATTGGCATAGTAAAGAGAACCCTCTCCAACCCACCAATGTGCTCACCACCATTACCATCCTAAACCAAAACCAAACTAGTTGCCCTCAAGTCGACTCCGACTTATGTTGACTCCACTTGTGTCAGAGTCTAACTGTGCTCCATAGGGTTTTCAGTGGCTGAATTTTCAGAAGTAGACCACCAAGCCTTTCTTTTGAGGCACCTCTGAGTGGACTCAAACCTCTCCACTTGCAGTTAGCAGCCGAGGGTGTTAACTGTCTGCACTACTCGGACTCGGGCACTCCTTTACCACCCTAATCACATGCTAATGGCAAGAAGCAAGTCACAGAGCAGGCTTCTGAAACTCTAATGTGCAGATGAACCACCTGGGCCTCTTGTTACAACGCAGATTCTGATTCCTGAAATCTGGAGTGGGGCTCAAGAATTCGTATTTCCAACAATCTCCCCCCGTGCTGCTGGTGACTTCCAAAACTTCCAACAGCAATCCCCCAACTTTTCTACATATTACAATTACTTGGGGATCTTTTCCAAAACCCAGGTCACAACTCAGACTAATTGAATCATCATCTTTAGGAGTAGAGCACAGGGATCAGTAGTTTTTTAAGCTCCCCAGGCGATTCTAGTGGGCAGACGGGTTTGGGATCACTGCCCTAGGGGGTATTTAGGGGCCAGAAGATGGGCTGTCACGGCTGAAGCAGAGCACACCTGGAATTCACTGAACACATATTGAGGACTTGGTGTGTGCCAGAGACCCCTTGGTAGCACAAAGAGTTTGGGCTTGGATGGTAACCGAAAGTGTTGACAGTTCAAACCCACCCAGCAGCACCACAGGAGAAAAGGCCTGGTGATCTTCTTCCATAAAGATTACAGCCAAGAAAACCCTATGGAGCAGTTCTACTCTGTAACACACGGCATCTCCATAAGTTAGAATCAATTCGACAGCACAAGACAACAACACCACCAATGGATTGAATTATGTCTCCGCAAAAGATATGTTTAAGTCTTAACCCCGAGGATCTCTGAACCCAGTGGTATCATGAAAGAAGGCCTTGGCTATCTGCTTCCATAAAGATTATAGCCAAGAAAACCCTACGAAGCAGTTCTACTCTGTAACACATGGGGTCGCCACGAGTCCAAATTAACTCTACATGATGGGTTTGGCTTTGTTGATTTGGATATATGTTGGGTGCCGTTCTAGGTGCTGGAGTATAACAGTGAATGAGACATAGCCCTACCCTCTTGGAGCTTACAGTCAAGAGGGCAGATGGATGTTAAACAAGTAACCAAATCAATCTAAGTCTAGGTTGGGGAAAAGCCATGAAGGAAATAAACACAGTAATGAGAGACAAAATGGAGGAGGCCACCTCAGATTGAGAGGTCAGGGAAGGCCTCTCAAAGGATGTAACATTTGAGCCGAGACCTGAAGGTTGGGAAAGAGACAGCCTGTAAGGGGCATCCCAGCATAGCAATGGCAAGTGCAGACGTCTGGAGGTGAGAGATGAAGGGGAATATCATAAAAGCAGCAAAAGGAAGTCCCTTCTGGCAGCTCAGCCTTCACCCGGGTGAGGCCAGAGAGCTTAGTCTGTCTGGGGAGGCTGTGGCCTCCAGCCTAGGTCCATTGAGAAAAGAAAAGGGGGGGGATTTGTTCTCAAAGTACCCACAGGAAGAAGCCCCCAGCATCACCTGGCGGGGGCAGACCCAGGTCCTGGCTCTCACCCACAGGGAAGAAAAAGGGATGAAGGGAAGGAGGGCAAGAGGGTGTGTGGGGCATGATTTGGCCACCTACCTCTGGCCGAGAGCTTCTTGGTGTTGATGATCTTGGCAGCATACTCCTGGCCAGCCAGCACCTTCACACACCTGCGCACCACCGAGAAGGCGCCCCTAGGAAACAGAGAAGACAAAGAAGGTGAGGGAAAGACCAAGAGCTTCATCTCCCAGAGAAACCAGAGTTCACGCAGCTGCCCCCTGCTAGAGGACCTCCATCAGGGCTGCTCAAGCTCATGGGGGCTGCTGTGGAGACGCAGGGGAGTCCCAGAAGAATCACTGGTAGTGGGAGAAGCTTGGTCTCGCGTGAGATGAGCCTTCCAGAGTCATAACAAGTTAGGCTCTCCAAGCTGTAAAACATTAGAATCATGTGGTGTTAGAACCACAGAATCTAGGTTCCTGAAAGTTTTTAGGCTTTTACTCTTTGAGTAGGCAATGCATTGACATGGTTTAAAATTCAAAAGATCCAAAAGTGTAAATGGTGAAAAGACTCCTTCCCTCTTGCCCTAGTACCCTAGTCTCCCATTTCCCCTCCCCAGAGACATCCTCTATTACCAGTTCCTTAAGGATCTCTCCAGATATTCTCCCCACACAAATGGTACTGAATCTTTGCATCCTCCTTTCTTCAGCAAATCATATATCTTGGAGATCCTCCTTCCATATCATAACACAAAGAGCTCCTCATTACACACTATTTAACTGTACAGCTGTCCTATGATTTACCTAGCCAATCCCCTATTGATGGGCAATTAAAACTCATTGCTGTTGAGACGATTCCGACTCATAACGACCCTATAAGACAAAGCAGAACTGTCCCATAGGATTGTCAAGGCTGTAAATCTTTACAGAAGCAGACCGCCACATCTTTCTCCTGAGGCTGGTGGGTTCGAACCGCTGATCCTTCGGTTAGCAGCTGAGCACTTAACTACTGCACCACCAGGGCTCCTTTAATGGGCAAGTAGGTTAGTTCAAATCTGTAGCTGTTATAAACAGTGCTGCAGTGACTAATCTCATCCTATGCACATGTCATTTCCCATGTGTATGAGTATCTATGGGATAAATGTCTAAGCTGAGGTTGTTTGGCTCAAAGTTAGGTAATTTTGATAGCTACTAAGAGATTGTCCACCTCAGAGTTTATACCAACGTGCTTCCCCACTTGTATGTGAGGGGACCTGTTTCCTTCACTCTTGTCCACACAATGTGCTTATCAAACCTTTTTATCTTTGCCAGTGAGACCGGTGGAAAATGGAAACTCAGGGCAGATTTAATTTGTAATCCTCATATTAAGAGTGAGGCTGAGTATCTCTTCAGATGTTTAAGAGACTCCTGGAATTTTATCCTACAAGTACGAGCGCCTGGAACGGAACTTGGAGGGAGGGCTGTGAGTTTAAATGCTGACAGGAGAAACCTATTGTTGCATGTGACATGTGGTCCACTTGCCAGATCGTTCAATTTGCCAAGAGAAGCTGGAAATCTGGATATTTATGTGAAATTTCCCAATTTTTAAATATCGACCCTTTATCCCAAAGAAGTTTACACCTGGTGTCAGGCCAAGCAAAACTGGTCTGAGGACTAGATCTGGAGTCCAGGCATCATTTTGTACCCTTTATCACAAAGGTCATGTGGTCCAACCCCTTCACTCCACAGAGGAGGTCCCTGAGGGGCCCGCCACTGACCATACTCAACACCATTACCACACTTGCTGTTTTTGTTAGTTGCCATCAAGTCAATTCAGACTCATGGCGACCCCATGTGTGCAGGTTTTCGAGGCTGTGACCTTTTGGAAGCAGATTAGTAGGCTTGTCTTCTGAGGCTCCTGTGGGTGGAATTAAACCAGCAACTTTTCAGCTAGTGGTCGAGTGTTTAACCATTTGCCATTTGCGTCACCCAGGGACTTATTGAGCCTGGTGCGCAGTGGTAAAGAGCTTGGCTGCTAACCAAAGTTTGGCAGTTCAAATCCATCAGCTGCTCCTTGGAAACCCTATGTGGCAGTTCTACTCTGTCCTACAGGGTCGCTATGATTTGGAATCAATTCAATGGCAACAGGTTTAGTTTGGGTTTAGGGACTTATTACTACCTTAACCATACGCTCATAGCCAGAAGCTAGTCTCCTGAGCAGGCTTCCTAAACTTTAGTGTGCGTACAAATCACCTGAGTATCTTGTTACAATGCAGTTTCTGATTCATTAGGTACGGAGTAGAGCTCAAGAACATGCGCTAAAGTATAGCTCAGTGTAGATTCCTCAAGGTCACACAGCAAGCTGCAGACAGAACTGTGTCTAGAACTCAGATTGCTTCATTCCCGGATTTCTGGCTTCTCCCACGCCCAGAGGGCCTTCCACTTCCTGACGTACCAGGCCATGCCCAGGTTCTTGACGTGGCCACATCCCATCATATTCTCCAAACTTTCATCCCCACTCTGAGTTTACAAGCAGGTGCAAAAGTCACAGAGATCAGAGTAACAGGAGCAAAGGGGTGGGGGGAAGACGCTGGCACCGGGGAAGGCTGCAGGCTGGCACCGATGCCTGCTCTGGCACACCCCTGAGCGTGATATCATCAGCTTCATGTCTGGGCAGTATACAGTGAGTGGCCAGAAAACTGCGGAGAAGGATGAGGAAGAAAGAGCCGGGATGGGGATTTTCAGCAGGAGCCAGGAAGGAGTCTAGCCTTGTGTGCCATTAAGTATATTCTATTTCATAGTGACCCCATGTGACAGAGTAGAACTGCTACATAGGGTTTCCTAGGCTATAATCTTTATGGGAGCAGATCACCAGGGCTTTTCTCCCTCGGAGCCGCTGGTGGGTTTGAATCACTGACTTTGTGGTTCGCTGCCAAGTGTTTAACCATTGCACCGCAGGGCTCCTTGGGACTGGGTGAGGGACCAGAAATATGATTCAACAGGAAAAGTGGAGATGGCCAGAATTCATTTTAACACTCTCTCCAGGTGAGTCTTTCCCAGCTGGCTCGGCGCTGTCCCTTCAGCCTCCTAGGGAAGTCCTGCTAGATGCTTGCCTCCCACTGGAAATCAACACTGATGGGGCTATCCCTCGGGGACCTATCCTGGAGGGCTTGGACGGCGCCACAAACCTGGGCTTTGTCCCCGCGCAGCCGAGGGTCTAAGAACTATGTCTCTAAAACACGAGAAGCCACACTTGCTGAACTTCCTCCTGAGAACACAGCACTGAGCTTTTGTGAAAAGCAGAGGTTTTTAACTAGGGGTCCATGCAAGAGTTGAGGGAGGGAGGGCTGCAGGTGTCCCTGAACCCTGAATGACATCTGTGCATCTGAGTGTAGGTATGCACATTTTTTCCCAGGTAAGGATGCATAATTTTTATCAGATTCTCAGGGTAGGGGGGTGGTTTTAACCCAAACCATTTCAGAACTGTTGACCCAGAGGGTGCCAGCCCCCTCGCATCCCCAAAAGGCTTTCTCCCTCCAAATACACGTTCACACCGAGCCCCTTCTTCACCTTCAAAGCACCCCTAAGATGTTAGAATGATGAGCTCCCTTCTAACAGATCAGGGAACTGAGGCCTCAAGTGAGCAGGTGTACAACTAATGAGGCCGAGAAGAGAATCCAGGTTACCTGCACTTTTTCTTCCGACTCTACCAAAGGCAGGAGAGCATGGTCCTCAAGGGCAGGGGCTCTGGTGTCATAAAGACCTGTGTCTAATTCTGGCCAGCCCCTAACTAGCTGTGTGACATTGAACAAGGTGCTTAGCCTGTCTGAGTCTGTTTCTTCCCATGTAAAATGGGAGCAATAATGGCATCTACCTCCTGGCTTTGTTGAGGAGGTTAAGTAAGGTGAAGCATGCAAAACACTTGGCACAGTGCCAGGCACATAGTCAAAGCATAAAAGGACAGGAGTGGGGTTGGATGGGGTGAGGAACGGGCCGGGCCCGGTGGCCCCTCTTTCTCCCTTTGCAGCCTCAGGTTAGGGGGCTGCCTCTCTCTGGGCCTCCATCCATAAGGGGGAAGGCTCACCCCTGCCTGCCATGGGTGGTGGGGATACGGAGATCGGGGCAGAGGAGAGGCAGATGGCAAAAATGAGAGTGGGGGCAGCGGAGCCTGCAGCCCTAACTTCCTCTCTCTTTTTATCTTCTGTTTTAAAAAGGCATATTTTTGCATGCTTGTCCTGCGTGAGCCAGTGGCCACAGCCCAGCAGCCTTGGCAAAGAGAAGAACCAGCCCACTCCTCCTGTGGCCCTTGTTGAGCAGTTGGCCAGCAGGTGGGTGGGTAGGCGGGAGCCTGGGAACAGGACAGGGCGGGAGAGGCGAGGTGGACAGGTGGGGAGGGAAAGGGTGGGAAGAAGTGGCCAGGGCTCGCCGAGAGGAAGAGGTGAGGCCTGGGGGTGAGGGCCCTGTGTGAGTGGGGGACACCTGTGGGCAGGTCCCAGGAGTGTGCCTGGGTGCGATAGCAGGGGCCTTGTGTCTGGCCGTAACTATATCAGTTGCCTAGTCAATGCCCTTGAATGTGTGACACTGTGAGGCTGTGGGGGTGACAAAGCGCATATGTGTCACCCTGGGTAGGAAGTGTACATCCATGTGAGCCAGAGGGTCACAGAATGTGGGCAGGGAGAGGTGTGTGTGTAGACAAACAGACAGACAGGCGGACAGACACTGGAGGGACTGAATCTGGGATCGCAGCCCTTCTGGGAGGCCTGGGCAGGGATCTGCCCCAACGTGGGCCTCAATTTCTTCGTCTGCGACATGGGGACTGGGGGTGAGGCTTAATAGTATAGAGGCTTTTCTAGCTTTACTGTTCGATAGGAGTGCTGTCCGATAGAACTTTCTGTGATGACGGAAATATTGTCTGTGTTGTCTAACATGGCAGCCACTAGCCACATATGGCCATTAAAAAACAACAACAAACCCAGTTGCCCATTGAGTCAATTCTAACTCACGGAAACCCCATGTGTTATGGAGTAGAACTGCACCATAGGGTTTTCATGGGCGTGACCTTTCAAAAGCAGATCACCAGGCCTGTCTTCTGAGGCACCTCTGGGTGGATTTGAACAGCCAACTTTTGATTAGCAGCCGAATGCTTAACCATGTGCACCACCCAGGGACTCCACATATGGAGCATTCAAAATGGGGCTAGAGGGACTGAAAAACTGAAT